GATCCACACGCCTTGGACGAACCGAGCACGAGACCTTCAGGTAATTTCTGTGGTTGTGTTGCACCCAAACACATGTCGAGACATTGATCGCGTCAACCGTAAGGTGAAATAATCCTGAAAGGGCTTGTGGTTGCGGTGACTACTGGATGGCGTCCCAACATTGGCGTGCCTGGGCAAGATAGGAGATGCACCTTGTTGAAAGGGTTGGATCAAACGAAATATGCAGAGAAAACAAGGGAGACACCAGCGGATCACGTGAGTACGACCTGACCCTAACCTTTACTTTGCTAGTACTTTGTTGCCGACAAGAGAGCCACTTATTCACAACACTCAGTACGCCGCCTGTGGCACGCAAGATTCAACGACAAAAAAAAATGCCATTTACTGTAACAGCGTGTCTAATCATTTCACCGTCTGCTTTCGTAGCCTAACGTCGTTTCGCGTCGTGCCGCCCGACCGCTGCCCGATCGATCGACTCAAGGACATGTACGAAGCCCTCGAGGCCCCACTCCTGAGCGTCGAAGAGCGCCTAGACGTCCTCTTGCACCTAAAGTGGACCGTCAGCGAGTTCGACTGCCGGCTGACCCGGGACATCGCGGAGCTGGTCGACAGGGAGGCGGACCTGTTGAGCCGGGGGCGGGGGGAGGCCAGCCTGCGGCCGCTCCGGCAGCGCATCCGCAACCTGTTCTTGCGGTTCGCGGAGACCCCGGACTTCAACCCGGAGGCCTCGCGGTTCATTCGAGTGCCGCCCAAGTACGGGAAGCTTACGGACGAGGGGATGGTGGGCTTGACAGGGGTGGTCTCATGCAAGTGAAGGGCGAGGATTGAAAACGATGCAAGTACTCGTTGTGTGTGCTCTTTTCCTCCTCGTTTAGAGAGCTCTGCGTGAAGTGTGCATGGGCATGAAGTTGAAAATAGAGTTGCTAATACAGCATTGTTGAAAGCAAGCCGACGAATATCGTCGGCGTTGCTAGTCCCAAGCTTTTTATTTTTATTTTAGTCGCGTGTTGCGCGTGTGCTGACACCACGAACGGGAAGGACCTTAATTAGCCGACACACTACGCAATAATGGTCGTGATGGACGCGGGTACGCAATAAAAAGCAACACATACATCCGATCCTCGGGAAACACGAAATGCAACGTCTACATACACACTGTCTTCCCTTGTACACACGGTAGGCACTCTGTCTGTCCCTTTAACACGGTACGTACTGCTTTTGCCTACCACTCTCGTCCTCTCGTCCGCATCAACAACAAACAATGCAACTTGCCGCACAACAAGAGCCATCCCTGCAGGAAAAGCTGTACAAACAAGCAAAAAGCAGCTCCTGCTGCTGTAAGCTGCTGCTGTATGTACCATTTTTCAGCACGCACGAACAACAGATACAGCACAGGCGAAGGAGCTCAGTCTGCCTGTCTGTGTCTGCGTCGGCGTGAGTAGGGGTGGGTGTGAGGTATCGATAGAGTAACGACAGGATGTTTTTTTATTTTTATTCTTCTTAATATGACACAACGAATCCATCTCCATCATAGAAAAGAGTCTGAGACAGATTAGCAATGAATTCATTGTGTATGGCATCTCGACGAGTATCGTCGCGTTGCCTGTCTGAAGCTTTCGATTTTTGCAGCGGGCAACAATCAAGGTAGACACCAAGAAGACGCCCGATGAGCACACAGGAACCGGGGGACCCCAAAAAACAAAGCATGAAAAACAAAAGAAAGAAAGAAGCGAGAACAAACGAGCCAGACGCGACAGGCTTCAGGGAGGAGGCAAAAGAGCGCATAGAAGAAAAGCACCGTCGCCGCTCGCTCCGGACCGCTGGAAACTCTCACATAGCACTACATATGGAGCAAATATTAGGTAGGGCCCAAGTCCATTGCTTGGCATAACGCCCATCGCTTCACATGCAGCAGCCGGATGCACGGGTAGCCTTTTACTAAGCAAAAAGTGAAACGACTGCGGTTGGTTGACGTTCGATGTTGTTGGGACCCTACCGGCGAAAGGCGAGAGAGAGAGAAAGAGAGGTAGACAAAAAGAAGAGAGCGGAGAGAAGACAAGGCATTGACTCTCTCGAGAAGAGAAGGCATTGACTCTCTCGAGAAGACACTCACTCTCGTCCCTCTGGCCCACCGCAGGCTGTCACACATGATGTCACGTTGTGTATCGAACGGCGATATCCGATGTCGGCTCAGCAACAGCAAACAAGCACAACAACAAACAAATATAGTCAGTCGCCGTGTGCGAGCTGTGGACTATCTTGTTGTAGGAAGTGAGAACTAAAAAGAGCACGATAGCACCACGGACGAACTATTATCGCAATACGCTTGCCGTCCGCCATAGATGCGCACCGCTGCACGAACGAGCTGTTGGTTATCATACCTCACTACGTAGTATCTAAGATTGTGCTGCCATCTACCTTACTTATCGCTCAAATTACGACTACGCAGCAGACTCAAGGCAAGGAAGCAACACGCGTGCCGATGCATACCACCCATGCATGCAGCAAAACAAAAAAAGGCGGACCGTCTGTTGTTGTTTGTCTCTTGAACTAACTGTGCTGCCGACAACGACACTGGAAAAAAGTAGGAGACGCGCATCGCCTACGCGAGCAACGCGTGCAGCCCAAAGCAACAGAGACGATAACCTTACGACCTTTCTTTTCAGCACATTCATTCATTCCGAGCATATACTGCAGCAACCGCAAGTACGTATGTGTACAGCAGCAGCCGCATGTTGTGTACAACAACGGTCACTCAGGAAGAAAATCACAATAACAAACGCAAAAAAAAAAAGGTGGTGGCACGCAGCACGCAGGACCCTCTTTCGCTGTTCATCAACCGGCCATTCCCATGGCGAAACAGACAAGGTACAGCAGTGAAGGCCGACTCTTGCCGGCCCCAGGAGGCGGAAGCTGCTCAAACTCGGGGACGGGTCATGATTTGCGATTGATTCCTCACCGAACGGATATCGAACCTTCACACTACTGTTTCAATTAGCTTCAGAAAAGCTTCAAAATTAATTGTGAAACTTGCAGAGTCATAGACATGGCAAGTAAACACCCCGTTCCAAAGAATATCTGTCGTTGATTTTTATTGACTTGCGGACCTTTCGTGGCCAGTTTGTTTTAGCGTGCCTCTTTATGGCAAGTTAGCCTGTGACCACGGGAATCGACCGCGTCAAGTGTTGGATCAGTAAGGACAAATGAAGGTACTGGGTAGAGAGAGATCGGAACGGTTTTTAATGCGAAGACAACAACAACAACAACAACATTTAAAACTGAACTAATGGGTGGTGGGCGGATGACCGGCGGACCCCAAAAAGCAAGCTGAAAAATAAAATATAGACTATGTTAAGAAAAAAAAGAAAAAAACGAAGGGACGACAAAGACAAGTGAGCCAGACGCGACAGGCTTCAGGGAGGTGGCAAAAAAGAGCATACGAAAACCACCGTCGCCACTCTGAACCGCTGGAAGCTGTCACATAGCACAGCATGCAGCAAACAGTATAGGGGCCATCATGCCCCCGTTGCTTCAAGTAAAGAGGCAGCGCCCATCGCCTCACATACAGCAGCCGGGTACGTACTACACAAATAGCCTCGTACTCAGAAAGAAGCAAAACGATTGCGGTTGGTTGACGTTCGATGTTGTTGGGACCCCAACGGCGATAATAGGCGAGAGAGAGACAGGTGCTACTACTACTACGTACACCAACAGAAGAAAACGTAGAGAAGGCATTAATTAACTCTCGAGACCCTAACCCTAACCCTAACCCTAACCTTAACCGAAGACACTCACTCTCGTCCCTGTGGCCCACCGCAGGCTGTAACGAACGGCGACATCCGATGTGCGCTCAGCAACAACAAACAAACGCAACAAACCAAATAAATATATAAAGTCGCCGTTTCCGAACTAACTGTGGAGACTCTCTTTCATCACTTACTTACTTGTGGTATGAAGTAGGAAGTGACAACGAAATAGAAAATGATGACGAGAAGCACCACGGACGAACTATTTTCTCAATGCATACGCTTGCCGTCGCGATAGACGCGCACCGTTCCACGAACGACCAGTTGTCAAACCTCACTACGCAAATAAGATTGTCCTGCCATCTACCCCTTATCGCTCAAATTACGACTACGCAGCACACTAAAGGTAAGTAAGGCAGCAACACGCTTACGATGCTTTACCACCCATCCATGCATGTAAGGGAAGAAAAAAAAACTATGGCGGACCGTCTGTTGTCTGTATCTTCAACCGTGCTGCCGTTGCTTTTCTTCATGGATATCGGCACAGAGGAAAAATGAGGAATGCGCATCTCCTACGCGAGCACGGCGTGCATCCAAATCGACAGAGACGATAACCTTATTATGACCTTTGCAGCATCTTCCGAGCATAACAGCAGCCACCGCATGTGTACAACGGTCACTATAGTCGTAAAATCACTGGTTATCGCCCCTCCGCGAGCGATAGCTGCTCAAACGACTGTGACAGGTCTTGAAATCGTCTCAGCTACCCAGAACTGCTGGCAGTTGCCGGAGATTTGCAGGTACGTACTGCTTTTTTTGCCTACCACTCTCGTCCTCTCGTCCGCACATCAACAACAACAAACAATAAATGCTAGTTTTCGCACCACAAAAGAGCCATGCAGAAAGCTGCAACAACAGAACAAAAGCAGCTCCGCTGTATGTACACAGAATGTCCAGCTGTGTGCTGAGGTCGGTCAGCATCTCGAGAGAAGCGTGGCCAGCAAGCAAGACTTGGCGCGGGACACGAGAGAAGCAAGCAAGGCTTGGCGCGGGCGGCGAAAAAAAGAAGACGACTCTATATAAAAAGATCTGTTTAAAAAGAAGGCTTGGCGCGGGCGGCGAAAGAAATGAAGACGACTCTTATACAAAAAGATCTATAAAAAGAGGACCCTCAACGACAAGTCAACCAATCAATCTGGTCGTTCCGATGTGACGATGTAACGCAGATCTTCTTGTCGACGGAGAAACTGGTTTTCGCCCCACAGCAAGCGATAGCTGCTCAAACGACTGTGAAAGGTCTTGAAATCGTCTTAGCTACCCAGAACTGCTGGTAGTTCTCGGAGGTTCGCAGTGTGGGCTGAGATCGGCCTTTTCGACCCGGTCGGGCAAGGGGTCCGCTATGCTACTGAAAACTCCACAGACGGAAAAAAAAGACTTTTGATCGACTGAGACCCAAGCTAGAGCTTGGGAATATGACTGACGCCAAAGCTTCAGAATTGGGAAATAACAGAGGGAATCCACGTGTTGTTGAAATGACGTGAAAGATTGACATTTCAGGAAGTTTTGACGTGAAGAGGTTGCGCCGCTTTTTTGGGGGCAAACTCTGACGGCGAAATTTTTGTGAGGAAGCGTCAAAATTAAATTTCACCCAAACTTAAACCGACGCGAAAAGATTGACGCTTCAAACATCGCCAGACTGTGGCTCACACACGCTTGCTCTGCTGCGGTCTGCTGTGCGCGGTCAGCAGCGAACACATTGGCCATGCCTATACTGATTGCTCCTAGCTGTCCTGCACCCACGCGTCTCGGCAGTTCTCACGGCGGCCAAGTGGCCAGACGCGCGTGTTCGGCGCGCGCGTTCGGTAGATGCGCCGTCGCGATTGCGCACGGGCTTTCAGCAGCAAAAAGGGGCATAGGCAGGGGAGTGATTGGGGGAGTCTCGCCCTCGAAGGGAGCACATGGAGAGGAGTAAGGGAGGGTACACGGACTTTGCCAGTCAGTAGGTGCATTTCGCCCGCCCCCTCACGGGGTTCGGTGCTCTGCTGCCGCAGTGACATCGGTATATACACAGCAGTGCAGCGAGCAGCTGCCTTACTTACTCATCAGCAACGAACGGCAGTTTGACGCCTGGGAAGTCGCAGTTTGACGCCTGGGAAAAGTCGCCGCGGCAAAGGAGGGAAGGTCGGCGGGATGAGGCGAAGGGGTACACCTAGTCTCCTGGGAGCCTGGGGGTGTGAGTCTTCGCTTCGGAATGTCGACCCTGGGTGGCAGCCCGAACCAACCTTGAACTCTACCTCCACCATTTTTTTTTTTCACCTCTCACGTGTCAACGGGCACACGCGGTGCGAATTTTTTCCCGTCAAAACCCTCAACCGTCACTTTATGTTGGCGTCAATCCTCAAAGGTCAAAATTCCGCGTCAATCCATAGTGGATACCCTATAACACACAGAACAAAAGACTTTAGTCTGGAGAGACCCGAGCTAGAAGTTAGGTATGTTTGGCGATAGTAAAACCGTACGGTCGACTTGCTGAGCGAGCCGAAAAGAGTCACGTGGAGTTTTCAGTCGGACACAACATGTCCTCGAAGGACGGCGATTCGCCGCTTGGTGGGTTGCGACACGGCATACACTGCTCGTGGTTATCTACCTCCGTGAGAGATTAAGCCGGCCGCGTCTTATACCGAGTACCCAGAGAAAAAAATAAAATTAGTTATTATGTCGGTTAGACCAGAAGGAGGACAAAGTGGCCGGATGAGGCCTGCACCATGCAAGCACAGAGATATCGACGGCAACACTTGGGTTGCAGTTTGTCAAAACAAGCGGATGACAAGAAGCCTTGGCCCAGATCCGACTACAGACGTCTCGTGCGTATATTGTACTCAACGTACTCAACACAAGGTTGACAAATAATCATTCGTCTCTGCCACATTGAGAGTCTCCAGCCATCAACAAGTAACTCTTTTGACGTACTGGGGTAAGTGATACGACTAATTTAGATATGTCAAAACCTGGAATGAAGCTGGGAAACGACAGGACTAAAACACCCAAAGGGACAACCGAATCGACTCATCCTATCAAAGTCACTAACATGTTACCTGGTCTTATAACGTATGATGCGAGATATAACCCCAACGACTAATGCTTTTGGCAACATCCGGCCGTACATCGTTCGCAACCTCCAAGAGAGGGTACACCTTGAATCAACACAACCAACCCTGCTCGATAACCCGCCTATGCGCAGAGCACAACCTCCAAAAACGGTTGAACAACTTATCCCTTTTCAATGGCCCAGGAGTATCCGCCGGGGGGAGGTTGTAAGTGGAGAATGGTTTAGGAATAGTTGACCCCAGGAACCTGTACTGAATGGCCTAAGGCCGTAACCGAGCACCACTACTGACCGTATGACTTCAATTATGTTAAACCGTAGGGGCCGGCGTAGTGCCTCAACGACCCCCACGACCACCAACAGGGGCCGGCGTAGGAGGGGCGGTCGTGGTGACCATCGTAGGAGGGGCCGTCGTGGTGACCGTCGTAGGAGGAGCGGTCGTGGTGACCATCGTAGGAGGGGCCGTCGTGGTGACCGTGGTCGGAGGGGCCGTCGTGGTGACCGTAGTCGAAGGGGCCGGGGTAGGGGCGGGGCCTGTTTCGAAAATGATCCAATCGTTCGAACGCAATCATTTTGGCGTAGAATTTCGATGAGGACGTTTGCCTTGCAAATTTGATACAAGTATATGGAGTAAGGCTTTCGATCGTGCTGTATTTTCGGGTGGATGTCTCACACTGCTGTGTCACAGGTGCTTGAAAGAAGAGAATCGCGGGTGCAAGAAACGAGACATGTTGTAAGAAGCTGGTGGCGGGCCGTTTGGGATTTTCAGTATTAATGCAGCACGTTAGAGATAAATTTAAACCGCTCGACACACCACCCCAAGGTTCGGGAAGCACACTTTTGAATCACCAGTAATGAATGAATTGTTCGCATCGATCCTACCACAAGCTTCATTCCAATCAACTTACTCGTCACGATGCAAGGCGCTTCTCCCGTATCAGAGCAATCGAGATTAGCGGTCCTGATTTCGACACCACAGCAGTTGTCTTCTCCACCGTCCCTGTCACTGCACCCGTCACCTCCGCAAGAACCACAGCTCAAGGCGCAGCAAACATTACTAGCCTGGACACCGACAATTCCGCCCTCGCACGTCCCCGCTGTTTTACGTTGGAGGGAGCGGAAGAAAGCCAGACGAAATTAATGGTCGGTCACCTTGAGAAAAAAATGTTGCTATGCCATGCACATCGTTCAGACGTACGATACAGGAATGAACAGGACCTTCCAGGACACGCTAACTGGTACAGCAGTGTTAAGAGTGGGGATAAGTCATAATCAAAACGAGGTATGTACATGTAGTCAGGTATTCCTCATCTTCAAAGGCAAACCAATGCGCATTGACGAAACGTGTTCAAGTTGCTACAGTACTCCGTATGTAGGCAGTCCACATCTTCTCCACAGAGTATCCGGAGTGTACCATGGATGGTAAAAAACATATCGTGTACAAATTTTTAGATACCGGTCGCACCTTATGAATGAGGCAACTTCACATTCATGTGTTGTGGTTTCGAAAAAACGTTGTTGAGACAGCAGTCATGAACAGAAGACCAAAGTGTCGGTCTGTGATACATCCGATGCCCAAGACATGACTAATGGCGACAAGTCGCAGCAAGAACCGCACCTGCACGTGAAGGAGCCGGCGTGGGGGCCGGCGTAGCGGGGGCCGGCGTAGCGGGGGCCGGCGTAGCAGGGGACGGCGTACCGGGGGCCGGCGTAGCAGGGGACGGCGTAGCAGGGGACGGCGTAGCGGGGGCCGGCGTAGCAGGGGCCGGCGTTGAAGGTTCCGGACCTGTTACGTGTTGGCCAAAAGTTTGTACATTATGGATATTTGCGCAGTAGTGCAAATGTGAAAATAGGCGTTTGATGGCATGCATAAGTTGTGGTAGAGGAACGGTCGAAAGCATTTTAACTTTACTTCTTTCGGGTGGGAGTCTCACAATTTGTCGATGGGGGCCTGGAAAAGGATGTTCAAGTTGCGTGGGACTCGCCTCGAAGGCAGTTTTATACCAGGTCATATCAATAATAAAGTTCGCCAAAAAATGAAGCGTTCGAAATATCTATCCAAAGGCGGTTAGGGAAGAGAAGACAAATACGGTTAAGAAAGGGAAGGGCAAATATGTGCAGGAACCACTCAGATTGGACGCAATTTTATCGTTTCGAAATAAGTTATGAGAGTGTGAGTTCGTCCCTACGACGTTACTGGAAGCTTCATTCCAATCAACTTACTCGTCACGATGCACGGGGCTTCTCCCGTAACAGAGCAATCGAGATTAGCCGTCCTGATTTCGACACCACAGCAGTTGTCTTCTCCACCGTCCCTGTCACTGCACCCGTCACCTCCGCAAGAACCACAGCTCAAGGCGCAGCAAACATTACTAGCCTGGACACCGACAATTCCGCCCTCGCACGTCCCCGCTGTTTTACGTTGGAGGGAGCGGAAGAAAGCCAGACGAAATTAATGGTCGGTCACCTTGAGAAAAAAATGTTGCTATGCCATGCACATCGTTCAGACGTACGATACAGGAATGAACAGGACATTCCAGGACACGCTAACTGGTACAGCAGTGTTAAGAGTGGGGATAAGTCATAATCAAAACGAGGTATGTACATGTAGTCAGGTATTCCTCATCTTCAAAGGCAAACCAATGCGCATTGACGAAACGTGTTCAAGTTGCTACAGTACTCCGTATATAGGCAGTCCACATCTTTTCCACAGAGTATCCGGAGTGTATCATGGATGGTAAAAAACATATCGTGTACAATTTTTTAGATACCGGTCGCACCTTATGAACGAGGCAACTTCACATTCATGTGTTGTGGTTTCGAAAAAACGTTGTTGAGACAGCAGTCATGAACAGAAGACCAAAGTGTCGGTCTGTGATACATCCGATGCCCAAGACATGACTATGGCGACAAGTCGCAGCAAGAACCGCACCTGCACGTGAAGGAGCCGGCGTGGGGGCCGTCGTAGCGGGGGGCCGGCGTAGCAGGGGACGGCGTAGCGGGGGCCGGGGTAGCAGGGGACGGCGTAGCGGGGGCCGGCGTAGCAGGGGCCGGCGTTGAAGGTTCCGGACCTGTTACGTGTTGGCAAAAAAGTTTGTACATTATGGATATTTGCGCAGTAGTGCAAATGTGAAAATAGGCGTTTGATGGCATGCATAAGCTGTGGTAGAGGAACGGTCGAAAGCATTTTAACTTTACTTGTTTCGGGTGGGAGTCTCACAATTTGTCGATGGGGGCCTGGAAAAGGATGTTTAAGTTGGGTAGGACTCGCCTCGAAGGCAGTTTTATACCTGGTCCTATCAATAATAAAGTTCGCCAAAAATGAATCTATCCAAAGGCGGTTAGGGAAGAGAAGGGCGAATACGGTTAAGAAAGAGAAGGGCAAATATGTGCACACTCAGATTTGACGCAATTTTATCGTTTCGAAATAAGTTATGAGAGTGTGAGTTCGTCCCTACGACGTTACTGGAAGCTTCATTCCAATCAACTTACTCGTCACGATGCAAGGCGCTTCTCCCGTAACAGAGCAATCGAGATTAGCGGTCCTGATTTCGACACCACAGCAGTTGTCTTCTCCACCGTCCCTGTCACTGCACCCGTCACCTCCGCAAGAACCGCAGCTCAAGGCGCAGCAAACATTACTAGCCTGGACACCGACAATTCCGCCCTCGCACGTCCCCGCTGTTTTACGATGGAGGGAGCGGAAGAAAGCCAGACGAAATTAATGGTCGGTCACCTTGAGAAAACAATGTTGCTATGCCATGCACATCGTTCAGACGTACTATACAGGAATGAACAGGACCTTCCAGGACACGCTAACTGGTACAGCAGTGTTACGAGGGGGGGCAATTGTTAAAAGTGGGGGCAAGTCATAATCAAAACCAGGTATGTGCATGTAGTCAGGTATTCCTCATCTTCAAGGGCAAACCAATGCGCATTGACGAAACGTGTTCAAGTTGCTACAGTACTCCGTATGTAGGCAGTCCACATCTTCTCCACAGAGTATCCGGAGTGTATCATGGATAGTAAAAAACATATCGTGTACAAAATTTAAGATACCGGTCGCACCTTATGAACGAGGCAACTTCACATTCATGTGTTGTGGTTTCGAAAAAACGTTGTTGAGACAGCAGTCATGAACAGAAGACCAAAGTGTCGGTCTGTGATACATCCGATGCCCAAGACATGACTATGGCGACAAGTCGCAGCAAGAACCGCACCTG